CCCAACGCAAAGAAAACCTTGCGCACGGATGATGAAAGGACGCCTACAGGCAGCTCGGATACCCTAATGTCCCAGACCACACGGTTTTTGCGAGTAGGTATTGTACTTTGCCATCCCACCGTTAGGAAAATGTGAACCTGCTCGTTCTGTGGATATGAAACGTCTCTGTACTTTCCAGTCAAACGCACCGGGAAAAGAAAAAAAACTATCACAGCGCATCAGCGCTGCGCACGCATGGCGGTCGGATGCCCTTCCTCTAACCATGTAAGTGCGCAACCCTGCCGGTCCGTCAGCATTTCCGTTCGCATACCACGTATCTGAAGTCAAAACCGCGAATCACACTCGAAAAGTCAGATGCTACGACGTATATGAGACGGACGTTTTGTGGTTTTGCGGCCACAATGTTATGCCCAAAAAAAGGATTCGGTTCAGTCGCAGTTGGAGGAACTCGTTGGGGACATTGAAACCTCCCGCACGAGCGTTCTCGTACTTGTGAAATGCAAAGCCGTGAAGTTAGCTCGAGGCCATCGCGTTGTGAAAGGTGCGGGTTGGTTTTCATCGCCCCGAAAAAAAAGTGCGGACATATTCCAAATGGCCATTTCAAGTCTTGTCGGAAACGTCTTTGATGTCCGTTCAAAACCCGCGTAGTGACAAAAAAGGTTGATCAATTGGATGTACCCAAAAATGAATCCGTGTTGGTCATCCGCCTTTACGTCAAACGGTGCGTAGCCATGGCATCTATTCCGAACCCACGACACACGATCAGTAAGCGTTGCTGTGGTAGTCTATCAAAAAACGCATGCGAACATGGGTATGCAAGCTTGCAAGACCCGTGCCGAGCCGAGCACTCCAGAGTGCAAAGAAGCCACGGAAGACCAATCAGTTGCCGGGCTATCAAGTGTTCAGCGACGCGAATGGTTCGAAGTATCTTTGCTCCCCGTTTTTTCCGTGAAAACAGTGGACGAATCAAAGAGCGGGTTACAAAAAAGAACTTACGTTACTGAAATTCCAGAAACAGTCGGGATTGAAACCAAAGGCGGTTGGGGCGTAGATGTTTGCGGGGTATCCCAACCATTCACGCAATCAAACTTCCGTGTCTGAGTACCAACGTCCGTGCTAAGCCTCAGCTTTCTATTCGTGCTGTCCTGCAGATGGACATTGATTCTGGTGGAAGGAATGACACATATGGCTTTGGGTCACATCGGGAGTTAGATATCACCAAATCCGCGACGCGGTTACGGTCGCGTGTGGCCCTTATCCGTCCATTGGCCTCCTTTTTTTTGGAAATGTTACCTTAAACCGCCTGATGGTTGTCCAGACGTGATGGTACGTCTGTAACTCATTGTGAGAGAGAAGGGCCTTTATCCCGCCAACACAATCGCTCTCGCGGTACTTTCACGCGCCTGAGGACCTCGCTTCTTGGGCGTAATGAAGACCACAGACGTGGGGAGAACTGCTTTGTTGGCAATCTCACATCACAGATTCGGTACAATAGCTCCCTTCACCCGCACCCAATTGGACGCGAGCTCAAGCAACAGCGGACGAACCCGTCCTTAAGGGTTCGGGCGTCCGTGTGGGGGCTCTCCGAATTTTGCTTTTTTTTCTGTGGCCAAGCAGCAATGCAACGATTCCCTCCTTGCGTCGTCACAAGTTTATTTGTAACCTTGCTATCAACTACGAGCAAAAAATGGTTCCACGCAAAGCAAAGGTGGTAAACTTTGGATACGCTGATCAACTTCCCACTACAATGGCGATGTATGGTGCGGATGTGGGTAGAAAACACTCATGCGCCTGCTTCTGCTTCCAGCATTTTACTACCGTGCTGTAACCGTCTTCCTTGGGAAAAAGCATCAGTCTGTGAATTATTGACTTAACAAACAGTAGAACTGAACGGCTACCAATAGTCACGATGCCGGACAAGGTGGGATTTCGATCAACGCCGTTGCTGCGCGCGCTTGGGTCAGGGTATCCCAACATAATTAAAATTCCGCGTCCAAGAGCTTTCTCTTTTGCGGGCACTGAACAGCTACGGAACAATAACCGACGAAGTAACAACTAACCAAGTTTTCAAAAAAAAAAAGTGGTAAGGTGAGATCCTCGGAAGTCGTCCATGACATTAAAGTGCATGAACGGTGAAGAGCAAATCCCTGCACAACCCGATCCTCATCTTTTCAATTGAACCGTCGTTGGGGAGAGTGTTGTCCGTATACCATAACTGGACGTGTGCGATACATGAACGGTACAGGATTGAATCCATTGTGGTTGCGTGTGATGTTGGGTGGCCCACGTTCTGGGACACCGATTGGTCCCATGCCTGACTCTCGCTTCTGGTTGGATTTCTTTTTTTGCGAAAGCAACCGAACAGAAGAGGCACCTTGGAAAAGACAGAAAAGACACCGCGCCAAATCTGACCTTCTTGTTTCCCAGCGCCGGTATCACCCGGCTGTCCAAAGTATGCCGAGAACAACGTGATATGTGGACCCGCCAACAGTGGTGTCTGTACGGCGGCCCATGTCCTTTCTTCTCAGACACAATGTTATTACCACTTTTTGCGTGCTCCGTAAAAGTTGATCGCGTGCCCTCCAAACCGAACTCCTGTTGACCGGGTTTACACTCAACTCACCCCTTCTTGTTCCTTGCCAGGACTGTGGAGATGTTACGGCTGGGGACGACATCCCGCACCGCCTCCTTACACGCCAGGGCGGAGGTGCCGCTAACAACCCGTTGTTGAAAGAACGACACGAAATACAAGATATCTTGCACTTGGTGGAGGTGATGGCAATGGGGAGATGCAAAAAGCTCTTCGAATGGATCGTCCTAAACTGTCCGTATTTCAACCGCCGCAATACCGCGGGGGTTTCATCCCGCGTTTGCCGCCTTCCCCCATTTTTTTGTGTGCGCTGACCCACCGTTGGACACGCAGGATATCAAATCACCTGAATAAGGTTTAAGCAATCTCAGTTGACAATAAATGGCCTTGATTTGACTGTGCGGCCTAATTGGTGGTGACGACTTTCGGGTGCCGATACGGTTTCATACTAGAAGCCCGATTCCCGAATTCCACGGTTTTTCTTCTTTGGTCGTGCGTGGGTTTGTTTGGCATGCCTCCGTCTTAAACGACATCTACTGGGTGACTTCTCGGTTGGGCGAACCACAATCAACAACCCTTCCTGAAACTTATGTGCCTGGTACCCTTCTGCTTGGGCATCCGCCACATCCTCTGGTCCTTGCTCGTTTTTTCGTAACTGGGAGTCCTGCCTGCCCACTGGACCACATACATGCACTGAAACTGCTGCGGCCCAGCTGAATAGACGTAAATGCGTCCACAAAACGTGCGTGCTCGAATATTGTTGGACAGGGGTTGCTGTAGAAGGAGCCTGAGTGCAGACGTGAACGTGGAGGAAGGGGGACTGTGCAGACTCCACCTACGTTCCCCCTTGTAGGAGTACGCGGGCAATCAAGTGAAGTTAAGTTTCCTCATTTTTTTCACCTTCTGGAGTCCTGTGCTCCCATTTCAACCAAAACGTGGAGTGTCTTTCCTCCACCTCGTCGATAGGCGCCGGTCTGCGATGATAGGTAGTTATCAGACACGCGTATATACAGTTTTTGCTCTCCGGTTTCGGGACTCAAATACAGAACTGTCATGGTTTGGTGTGTTGTGATGTTGCTTAAACACATCGCTGTTGTGTAGTCTCAAGATTGCCATGCGACGTAGATACTTGCTTGGTCGTATATTGAAGAATACCAACACTTATCCAGACTCAAAAAAAAATGTCGCAGAAACAATTGCGCATTTTGGACCCTTGTCGATGACCACGGTTGGAACGTGTTTGGACATTGGTTCAATTGATACCAGCCCGTGTGCGTTTCTGAACACTTTTCGTACTTCAACCGTACCGAACACCCCCCCATAATCTCATGACCATTCCGTACACTCCTTGATATTGAGTCTCAGCGGCCCTTGCTGTTGCGCAGGCACGAGGGCGCCCCCAGCTGTATGATAGGGGATTGTGATAGCTTTTTTCCCTGTAGTGGGAAACGTGAATGCAGGACAAACCGTTCATCTCGACTTGAGAGGTATTGTATGCCTTTACACCATACATGCTATAAGACAGACAAAGCTATCATTGGGTGCTGAAGCACAACGATCTCCACGCCCAGTCGCAGGAGTTTGAAACGATTTTTTTGCTCCCAGCTGACTGGTGCCCCAAGCGGGCACCACTTCACCCCGCGCCCCAGTAAGCGAATGAATGTTCTATGTTGAAACACGAGCAGCAGCAACATTAAACCGTCACTGCTCTTGTGGACGCTGTTCCTACGCACACGACTCGCTCGTTTTTTCCGTCGATGATGTTCCGCCCTTCTGATATTGGGTGGATACCGTAAATACCGACACACTGCGCACGTCCTCACGGTACTGGTATGATTTCCTTTGCCCACCACGGATGACATTGGGCACTTTTACTGCCGCGTTTGAACCTCCTGTACAGTGCTGAGGGTGGTTGGGCTTTCCTGCATAAAAGAAAGGTCACGGCCGACCCCGAGATCGGAGATTGGGGCTCAATGTGGCCCCCGCCACCACCCGGGTACACGAATGAATGTTCCTTTGCATTAACGCATAAACAGCACCGATATCAACATACCGCCGCTGTTCATGTGAAGTTTTCGTGCTCTGACAATGTGCTATTTTGATCCCGCAAGGACATCTCACTAGAGCAATAGTAGGACACATGTGTGCCGTTCAACGGTTTCAACCAATGTCCAGCACGTATCCTTGCCCCAACCTATGACAATGTTTAATCAATCTACAAACCCTCTATACCCAACAAAACACCATGTATCCCGCGCAAAAAAAAACTAAGGCACATCAAAGTGTGCCCCTTTCAAAGTTGTGGAGCAAAACCACCTCCGCGCTACGGTACTTGGCGGTCGATGGGTATCCACAGTGCCTCCGAATTGGTCTCCGAGTCATAAGAAAGAGCTTTGGCCCGACAAATATCGGCTGAATGGTCTAGTAGCATGATTCTCGCTTTGGGTTCTTGTGAGAAATCACATCGAAAACTGCGAGAGGTCCCGGGTTCAATTCCCGGTTCAGCCCTTGCTTGGAATATATCCAGTTTGTTTTTTGGTGGGCGCCTTTTTGTTTACTTTTTACTGTGCTTGCAACTGTTTGCAAAGAACCGTCAAACCCATGGTGATATTTTTGACGACACAACAGGAGCGTGAACAATGACAGCGTCGCGCTGTACCGACCATAACGGTTTTGATGAACCGACCAAGTGATGCTCCGGGCATGCTAAAGAAAGGTGTCTTCGATTAGAGACCCTCGCCTGGTCCGCAACTATGTACTGGTAAATTGCTACAAAGTAACACCCCTTTTTCAACATTTGCTGGATTTCATTTAACTAGACCGAGCTTTTATGATCAAAGTTCTATTTAAATAGCCCGCCTTCCTGGCTGGCAAAACGGAAATGTATTGAATATGGGCAAACGCATCACCAAATCCACGTTGCGGGAAAACACAAATGTTCAGGATCTAAGCATCACAAGGTTTATGAACGAAGCACACCACGAGTCCCCATTCACGGAAGATACAAAAAGTGGTTGAACACCTCTAAATAACCTGTCATCTACTCATTTAATCCAATACCGGAAGGAAAGGGTCACGGCTCTGACCAGCTGAGCTATGATTTGGACCTTGTTGGACCTGTCTTTCAGAGCCAGAACGCGAACGACCCATGGGGTCAAGACCGCCAGTGATGGTCCAGAACTCGTGCAGTTTTGGAACCGGATATATGCCAGAGATAGGAAGCGAACGCAATATATTCATTATGTATGTTAAGTACAGTTCTCGCACAGCAACAGCAACCTCACCCCCACCCACCGCTCCACTCCATATCACGCCCACATCTTGACAAACTTCTCCTCAAACTGCGTCTGCAACATCACAAACGCCCTGTACACCCTCCACGTCGCATCATCCACATTCCTTGTCCGAGCCATCACCTCCGGCCGCTCACCACCACCACCCACATTCACGTCACTGTCACCACCCTCCTCCGCATCCTCCTCAGGCACATCATCACCATCCCCATCGACTTCTTCACCATCCAACTGCTTCAACCACACTTCCAAGCTCGTTTTGAGCGTAAGCAGGACGTGGTGGAACGCGTCCAACATGAACCAGATGTCTCCTCGACGGAGCCCGTTGTCGCGGATGAGGGCGGAGACTTGACCGTGCGTGAAAAAGTTGAGGAGGTAGGCGTCGAGGACGGGTGGGGGGTCGTTGGGGCCGGCGATGAGGTCGGACATGGAGGGGATGGCGGACTGGAATGGGTGAAGGTAAAGGTCAGAGTGATATAAAGGTTCGGATGAGTGAAGAAGAAAGGAGAAGGAACCGCACCGCTTCAAGAAACACCCCTCGCCGCACAGACGACACCAAATCCTTGGTAGTCTTGAAATCGTCCGCCACCCCCGACACCGCAACAAATGCTGATCTCGCCACATACGGAAGCGCCGTCTCACGCAACTTTGCAACAATCACGCCTTCGTCGTTCTCCACACCGCCGTCATGTACCGCTTTGATCCCAGACAGGGGAAGCTCATTGTCATCCCCCAATTTATCCCCATGCTGCGACACAAAGGTACGGATGTAAGTTCGGTAGATAGTCAGAATCCTCGCGTCGTGGTCGCGAAGGACTTTGACGGCTTCTTGTGGTAAGGGTTTGAGCAATACGTGCGCGGGCGTCGGAGTGTCTGCGACATGGTGACGGAGCCTCGGGCGGCGACCGAACAAGTGGCACAAAATGTGCAGTAGGGCTTTCATCGTCTCGTCACGTTGCGTGTCCAAGTTGGCGCATATGTTGTTGAAGATGCCTGCACGAAACAGTGCAGCGAAAGCAAAGTTTGCCGGCTAGACGTCGATGTTATAAGCACTCTTGAAAAGGCCCCGCCAAACAAAAACACCATCCCCCATACCTCAGTGTAATACAAATGCGACACGCACCCCGCCATATCCACGGGCCGCCCGGTCGCATCAATCAACCCCTCCCGTCTCAAATACTCGATGGAAAACCTCAAATGATGCCCAACCTGATCTTTGAACTGCTTGCCACCCAAATACAGGAACGGCTGTCCCAGCAAGCCTTCCACGGCTTTCAGAGTTTGCGGCGATTGGTTGGTCTCCAAGATTAGCTGGAGAAGGCGTAGGACGAGGGTAGTTGTCATTGGGAAGTGGCCAGTGATGTCGGGTAAGCGGGATAGGATGAGGCGGTTGACTTTTGTCAGGGGGCATCCGTGGAATACCACCGTCCCTAAATGGCAGTGTTGAGCTTAATGAAAATGCTTTGTGCAAAGCGTTCGAGAGATGATGTGAGGGTAACTACCTAACTGATCAAACCCACGGCGCCCGGCACGGCCGGATGCTTGGCGGTACCCCAACGCCGTCAAGAAAACAGAGTCTCCCACAAATACAACCGTCTTGCATGGCATGTTGATACCGAGAGCCAACGTCCCTGATATTGCGAATTCCCGACGTCAGGCACGTTGGATTTCCGAGCGACACGAGAAAATGTTGCCATACCGGTCGCAATGATCACATTCAAGAACCTGCGTCTGAATAACATCTCCACAAGCTGCAAATACCGACGGTTGCACCCGGCATGGTGTACGCCAATACCTCGTTGCAAAGCCTGTTCGGTCGCTGTTAAGTAACTCCCGCCCACGAGAAATACCTGACTAAACAACATGGATGACATGCACAAACCCACCTCAACAAGCACCTCCTGCCCACCCATATACTTCCTCACCGCCTCACAATCCCTCTTCAAATCCGTCAAAGTGTACCCACACTTTTCACCCACAAACGAGAACCTCGCGTCAGGGTCATCCGGATTCGGCGGTGCGTGCGCGTCGTCATCGTCATCCACAACGTCTTCATCCGTCTTCTTTTGTTTAGCGCGTCGGGATTTTTCCCGTTCGCGGTCTTTGGCACCCGCTACCCACTTTTCGTAGTCGCGGAGTTTGGATTTGTATGTTGTGTCGGTGGCGCGGAATGCCTGTTCGGCGTCGACGAGTTGGGTGTACATGGCGGTTGCGAGCGCGTTGCAACCGGTACGGTCGTAGTGGAAGAAAATCGCCGGCTGTTTAGATGCGATTCAAAGTATGTGTTAATAGCCTTCCACCGCCGGTACCTGAACTGCGCGAATGATACGGTTTACGTACCAGCGCCCCCCTCCCATTCAACTCGGTAGCCAAATGCAACGCCGTCCCATTCCAAAACCCCTCATCATACACCGACACACCCTCCTCCCCGTCGTCACCCTCACCACACCCCTTCCACCCCGCCTCAACCCCCCGCCCCCGCGCCCGAACCGTCCCACCCCACATCTCCACCACCCGCGCAAACCTCGCGCGGCCCCGGTCCGGCCCGCG